AAAAAAAAAAAAAAAATGTAGTACCTATCAAAATTCCAATGAGTTCCCCCCACCCCGACCTGGAAAATAACTGAGATCCCAACCACTGTAATGTGTTCCTGACATTAAGCTCCTTCTTCCTTCAAAATTCAGTCTTTCTTAAGTGGTCTCATGGACCCTTTCTTCTCCTCCAGTATGAAAGTGGCCATGGAGGGTGGTGCCCATAGTCCAGTGCATAGGGCACCGCCACATACACAGAGGCTGGTGGGTTCGAACCCGGTCTGGGCCAGTTAAACAACAATGACAACTGCAACAAAAAATAGCTGGGTGTTGTGGTGGGCACCTATAGTCCCAGCTACTTGGGAGGCTGAGGTAAGTGAATCACTGAAGCCCAAGAGTTTGAGGTTGCTGTGAGCTGTGACACCACAGGACTCTACCAAGAGTGACATAGTGAGACTCTGTCTCAAACAAAAAAAATAGAATAAAAAGAAAGTAGCCATGGCCAAAGTTGGAGGTGGTGTAAGATAACCTTAAAAGTCAATTTTCTCCAGAGCCCACCGTTTGGTCTGTACCAACAAGGACTTGCAGAGGGTGAGTACTTGCTTCTTGGTTCCCACCACACAGCCTTTTAGCATGACAAAGTTATTGGTCACTTTACCATAGTAGACAAAGCCATCCACGGGATTGATGTTCTAATCAAACAGGTCATAATCAGTAGAGGCTTTATTCTTGATCAGTTTGCCATCCTTGATGAGGTAGCCCTGGCTGATCTTCTTGTTGATCTCTGTGCAATGACGGTAGCCCTCCTGCTCATCCTGTACCACAGAGAAAGCCACATAGGCAGGATGCCACGCCCCAATAGAGATGACCTTAGTCCTCAGTGAGTCTTGCAGGGCAGTTTCTAGGTATACCAACAACTAGTCACCCCTTTGTAGCTTTTGCCCTTGGTCATCCCAATGACATCAATCATCTCATCCTGCCCCAATACTTGGTTCACTGGACCTGCTGCTCCAGCCTCTCCCTGACCCTGTTGAGTTTCTTAGCCATGGTGCCTCCATGCACCTGGATTTCCACCAGTTGGGCCGCCTTCTGGCATAGAGGAAGCAGGCACATTTGGGTGTGGGTAATGATGCAGATGACTTGGCAGTACTTTTCATGCTGCTGAGTCCTTCTCCAGCTGCTTCTTGCCATTTTCATCCTGCCATTTCTTGCAGGACTTGGTGAAAGGCTTGGATTTATGCCAATTCTTGTAGAAGTTCCTTTTTCACTCATCACTGATATGTTCAACAAAGATGGTCTTGAAAGTCCGGAGTTTTCACAGAGTTTCCACATATCCCATGATGCCTTTAACCATGATGGGCAGTGTCTCCACAATGGTCACAGCCTCTAGAACTTCCTTTTGTTCACCTCATTGCACCATCAAATCCCACTGACAGAGTTCCAAAGATGTATTTTGCAGAAAAAAAGAACCCTATAATTTGTGAAATATCCAGACACCAAGTAGCCAAAACAATTCTGAAAAACAATAAAGCTAGAGGATTCATACTTCCTCATTTCAAATCTTACTACAAAGCTACAGTAATCTAAACAGTGTGGTGCTGGCACAAAGACAGTTGCACAGACCACTGGAATAGAATAAAGAACCCAGAAATAGGCTCAGCGCCTATAGCTCAACCGGCTAAGGCGCCAGCCACGTACACCTAAGGTGGCGGGTTCGAATCCCCAGCCCGGACCCGCC